GGTCTCGGACCCCCGGCCTCGGTGTGGATCTGGACCCCCGGCCTCGGCGAGGACCCGGACCCCTGGCCTCTGGACCCGGACCCCCGGCCTCGGCGTGGGCCCGGACCCCTGGCCTCGGTGTGGATTCGACTCGCTGCCTCGAGGTGAAGCCTGGCACAGTCTGGGTTGGACGAACAGTTATTCTGAATTCTTATTTCTTTATTTTCCTAATTTAATTTTGGACTTCTTATTTCTTTACATTTCTATTTCTTTTCCTAAGAATTTGTATTTTAAGCATTTGTCCCTAGTTACTTTGATCCCTAAGATGGCATCATAAGTGGTGACTTGTAAACTTTTCACTGCACTCATGTGAATACAAGTGACAACAAAACTAATTGTAATTCTACTGTCCCTTTGATACCGTGAGCTATAACCGTGCCTACAAATCTGTTGCATAGCACAGTTGCAAATAAATATTAGAAGTCCCTGTACACTACTTCATCTGTGTTGCCCTCATCAGTTCTCTCTGTGAGATCTTCAAAAATCCCCAGCATGTTAGCTGGACATAATTTTCCCCTGAGGAAATCTTTGCTGTCTGTCTTTAAATAACCCACATTTGCTCAAGTGGCGAACAATTTTGTCCCAGATGGTTGTTCCTAGAAGTCTCTGCACAACCAAGATAAACTGGCTGGCTTATAGTTGCTTTGCTTTTTTTTAAAAAAAGTTGGATGTAGTGTTTGGAATTCTCTAGTCCTGTGGCACTAACCCAAGTCTAAAGCAGAATGAAACATTACAGCTAGAGCCTCTGCAATTTACAATCTCCTTTCTCTCAATATGCTTAATTGTATCTCAAGCAGGCCTGGTGCCTTATCCTCTAAGTATATTCAGACTATTTAATACCTCTCCTAATCGATTAATCATTGTCTAAATTACCTCAGTTTTCTCTGTGACATTGTATAGGTAGCATCATATTCCTTGATAATTACAGATGCAAAATACTTATTTATCATGTCAGCAATGCCTCTGTGCCTCTATGTGTAAATCTCCCTTTTGTTTCCTTATCAACTCGATTGCTTTTACCACCCATTTATCATGAATATGTCTATGGAAGACTTTGGGATTTCCTTCTTATGTTGGATGCCAGCTTTAATATACATTCCCTCAATTCTACTCGTTTGTTTGTGATTCTCAATTGTATTTTTCACCTGACATCTGCCTTAAGCACAATTAGTCTTTTTCTATAAAAACTGAAAGAACTGTGGATGCTGTAAATCAGGAAAAGAAAAACGGAAGTTGCTGGCATATATTTGGATTTAGTAGAGAAGACTTCACAGGTGCCAAGGAGCAGCCAGAATGTGAAAATGTTTGTTTTGTAATCTTTAAACTAAAAAGTTGCATTGCAGCTTTAGTAACAGGACACGAAGAAGACGGTGATTATGAAAAATAAGAGAGCTTCAGAAGGCAGAGGTTAATGAATGACCACAGCCACTACAGAAAAAAAAAACGAAAGAAACTGAAGTTGCTGGAAAAGCTCAGCAGGTCCGGGAGCATCTGTGAAGAAAAATGAAAGTTAACATTTCAGGTTCGGCGACCCTTCCTCAGAACTGTTCTGTTCTGATATCTGTGAAATCTTCTCTACTAAATCGAAATATTGAAAATAGCACTTGTGTCAAAGAGCACTGGGCAATTTTCTTCTAGAATTCTGGAAATATAGTAAGGTCTAGAGGAACAGCTATATCTGATTTGGTTCAACCGCAGACTGCTCCTAACCCAATAAGCTGAGATCAAACTCATAAACATCAGATGGGCAGCACAGTGGCTCAGCAGTTAGCACTGCTGCCTCACAGTGCCAGGGACCTGGGTTTCATTTCACTTTTGGGTGACAGTTTGCATGGAGTTTGCACATTCTCGGCGCATCCACATGGGTTTCCTCTCACAATCCAATGATGTGCAGGTTAGGTGAATTGGCCATGCCAGATTGCCTACAGTGTCTAGATGGATTAGCCATGGGAAACGTAGGGTCCTAGGGCAGCGGGAGGTGGGTTGGGTGGGATGCTCTTTGGAGGGCCGGTGCGGACCCGATGGGCCGAATGGCCTGTTTCCACACTGTAGGGATTCTACGATAATTCCTGAACTTTGTGTAAAACCTAATGCTTCACTGCACATCTGCACTCCCCTTTGAGAGGAGGCAGCAGTGTAGACTCTGTAGGCTAGGTCATAATCTAGTGACCCAGGCTTTTGTTCTGGGGACACGGGTTCAAATTCTTCTATGACAGATGGCGAAATGCAAATTCAATAAAAATCTGGAATTAAAAACCAGCCTAGTGGTGACCAATTTGTCAAAATCCACCTGGTTCACTAATGTCCTACAGTGAAGAAAATCTGATATTCTTACCTGGTCTGATCTGGTCTACAAGTGAGTCCAGAACCACAGCAATGTGGTTGACTCTTAACTATGCTCTGAAATGGACAGCACAACCAATCAGTTCAAGGGCAACTAGGGATGGACAACACATGCTAGTCTTGCCAGTACTGACCTCATCTCATACAATTACTTATTTTTCTAATCAAAGTCGTTACTATATACACTTGCTGTAAAGTAGACTTTATGGCATAGAAATTCACTACTGTTGCATCCATTCCACAGGCCTGAACAGGCAGTGAAATGGCCAACACATCCACGCCAGAACAACACTGCCTACAATCTTCTCCCTGTGCAGATCTGGGTCTCTTCAGTCTCCATGTATCACTGGTCCTTAAAGCGACCATTGGACACCATCACAAAAAAAAGTCTTTTTCTTTAAAAGTACTAACGTAATCATGGACCTGGAAGGACCAATATTGGCTGGAGTTTCACCTGGCAGGTAAGGAGACCAGAAATATGGTGCGGAAGAAGTCTTTCCTCATTAGATGGGGGAGAAAGCATAGCACGGCCCATTTACTTTTATAGACAAATAAAAGCAGAATGCGCAAATATTCACTTATTTATCATTCTGTTCCAAAATTCAGATGGATTTTGGTTATGATTTCTTTTCAGATTAAATTGAAATCTGTCACTGTGATATTTAATACTTAACCTGCAGCACTCAAAACAAAACATGTTATTCACCTCATTGCATTTAATGCACTATTGGGGAAGCAAAAATGTCAGTCAGGTTTGAATTTAAAAAGTATTTAAATTAGTCAGAGATAGTAAGAACTGCAGATGCTGGAATCAGAGATAACAAGGTGTGGAGCTGGAAGAACACAGCAGGCCAGCAGCGTCAGAGGAGCCCGAAAGGTGACGTTTCGGGTCGGGACCCTTCTTCGGATTGGTCATGTGTTTTTTTTATTTGATAGAACAGCACATTCATAAAATTATCATAATACATTTTTAATATCCATTATCAACCTATTTTGCTTCTTAATGATGCCTGCCCACATTTGTTCTTTTTAATAATTCATGAGATGTAGGTGTTGCTGGCTAGGGCGGCATTTATTACCTATCCCTAATGGCCATGCAGTATGTAGTTATGAGCTGCCTTCTTGAAAAGCTACAGTTCTTGGGATACAAGCAGCCCGAGCAGTGTTATTAGGGAATGATTTCTAGAATATTGGCACAGTGACACTGAAGGAATGGCAAAAAAGTTCCACAGTCAGGTTGGTCTATGGTTTGACTGCCTTTATCTTTCTGGGTGGTACAGGTCACAAGTTGGAAGTTGTCAATGGAACCCTCAGTGCATTACAATGTATTTTTCTTTACATAGCACACACTGCTATCTCTGTGCATTCTGTTAAGGTGGAAACTGTTTTTTCAATTCTTTCATGGGATATGGGCATCGCTGACAAGGTCGGTATTTGTTGTCCATCCCAAAACTGAGGGGCTTGCTAGGGCTGTTAAAAAAGACAGTTAAAAGTCAACCAAAATGCTGTAGGTCTGGAGTCCAAAACCAAACCAGATAAAGGGTGGCTTATTTCCGTCTCTAAAGGGCATTAGTGAACCAAGCAGGTTTTCACAACAATCGATGATAGTTGTCATACCCATCATAACTGAGACTAGCTTTCAATTCCATTTTATTACTTGAAATCAATTTCCACCGGCTACTGTGATGGTTTTTTTTATTCATTCACTCCTGTGATATGGACATCGCTGGCTGGGCCAGCATTTTTTAACCCATCTTGAGTGCGAATATAAATATCCCTAATATGAACCTGTGTCCCCAGAACATTAGCCTGGGTTTCTGACTTGCTAATCTAGTGACATTATCATTACACTGCTGCCTCCTGTAAATCAACTAGTTCACACCCGAACTAAAGACCCACTCCCCGCCATGGACAGGACCAATGTCATCTACAAGATCCCCTGCAGAGACTGCGAGAAACACTACATCGGACAAACAGGAAGGAAACTAACAACAAGAGTACATGAACACCAACTGGCTACAAAAAGACACGACCAATACTCACTCATCTCAATCCACATGGACGAGGAGAACCACGACTTCAACTGGGATAACACCAAGATCCTGGGACAGGCTAGGCAGAGACAAGCACAAGAATTCCTGGAAGCATGGCACTCCACGAAGCAGGCTATTAATAAACACATTGAACTCGACCCCATATACATTCCACTGCAGAGGAAACCCGGAAGTGAGGCAATCCATCGCAACGGACCCCAGAGTTTAAAAGCCAGGCGGGAAAACACACCGACGCTTCATCAGAGGCTGCACTGAGGATGTTACCAAGCACGGTAACGAAAAGTCTGCGGAACAACAAACCAGCTCGGCGAGCCAACCAACCTCAACACCCACAATCCAAGCTACAAATCTACTCCAAAACCTTAGTTCACACATTACCATATTCATTCATTACAGAATGCAGCCTACATAAAACAAAAAAATGTTTTTATGGCACCATTCACAATATCAGGATATCTCAAAGCAATATAGAGCTAACTACATCTTGAAGTGCAGTCATTGTTATAGGAAACACATCAGTCAATTTATAAACATATAACTTACATATTATAACATTCAACATACCTTTCATTATCAAGGATTGACTTTCAAACAGAAGGAGAAGTGATGTCTGGAAACTCAAATTTCCAACACGAATCACAAACAGAATCAGAATAAGTGAAAATGCACTGTAATTGAAAACAAATTACATTCAAGTAAATATATTTTGTTTTTTGAAGGATAGAATTGTTATTTCATGCAACAGATTCTGTCAAGAAACTCCAACATTTGAGAATTAAGTATGCAAAGATTTAAAGAAAGTACCATTTCCATAGGTTCAGAAATTCAAAATAAGTTCAATTTCTTATTCATGTAACTTAAACTTTAAGTTCGATAAAGAGATTTAATTAATACTTATAATGAGTTTAGATTATTACAGTGCTATTTTGCTGGCTTTGATATAAGACTGTATCTTTATTTTTCAGTATTTTGATTGCGGACTGAAATGGGAAAGGGGCTGTTTTAAAACCAAACATTGTGGAAGAGTTTGCTACACTTTTAAAAAGCAGGTACTGACACTCACTGTGAGTGCTAATTACACTGCTTTTTTGTTGAGCAGTAGGGAGAGGTTACTATGGATGAACTACGGCCATGGAGACTGCACAATTGGAGATGTGGTCAGCAATACACAGGTGATTGATCTGTGGAGTGGTGACAAGTTGCAGGCTTCTGCAAGACAATTCCACGACAAAATGATTGGTTCTATGCAGCTGAAGAACTTGGCGATATGAAAGATATAGCCAGACACCTTCAGACCTCCAGGAGGGGAAGCAATGTCCTTTTCTCTGCAGTTAAACAAAACACATAAAACCTGTATAAAACCAGTTAATTTTCCCTCACCAGTTGCAGTAAGCTGATGCTTTTAAGCAATAAATCACAGACTTCAAAAGTCATGAACTAGTCGCTCTGTGCCTCTTACAAGCCAGTGAAAGTACCGAGAAAAGAGAGATCGAGGAGCAGCCTATCCTGGCAAGTCAAAAGGATCATCTGAGCGAACCCCGTGAACAGGGACCATTGAACTGCCCTTCTTGATTTTCCCTCCATCCATAATATCAATTTTTTTTTCTGTATGTCTGTATGTGCAAGTAGGGAGCATTTTCAAAGAGGTTAGAGTTTTAACCAATAGAGTTATGTGTCAATCGTTTATAACCATTTATGGTTTAGACTACAGAAACCTGGATCTAAAAAGACAGGCAAATTAGGGAATTTTGCGTACTTCTACAAAATCTTTAAATTTTGTGAAGTCTCCAGGAATAGCATGGCTTAATTTCCAGTGTGTTACCTCAGTGAGGCAAGACATTGTATACGTTAAATCAGTTACTATATTGAAGGGATTTTATGGAACTTTTAAGAACAGGAAAGGTGGCAGTCAGAGAGCCCGAATTAAGTGAGAGCGGAAATTTTGATTTATTAATGGTGACTTGAGATACAGAGATTCATTCAGCAGCGTGTTTGTGAAGTGTTGCGCTTCATGGTGAGAAATGACAGATTCCCCACTTGTTATGCATCTGTCTGTCATGAATACTCATAAGCATAAAACTTTTATAGCTACATCCCACCTTCAAGATAAAGTCAGCACCACATGAGAAGCTTGTGGACCCAAGAACTCCTGGTTCATGTTATTTTAAAGGTGATATGCCCCAGGTGGCTTTGTGTATTTGTGTCTGAGGTCAGCAGTTTTCCTTGTTGAACTTTGTGACAGAAGGAAGGGGAGCTAAGGAAAGATGTTTTACATGAACCTGGGGCTCAAGATCAGCAAAGGGAAGTCAGTGGCAACATGGGTATGGAATGAGATCGGGGGCATAGAGGAATGGAGGAGGAATGCAAAGGAGAACAGTCACTTATGAGGAGGAGTAAAATGAGAGTAAGGCTTAAGTTTCTGGATGTGATGGAAACAGTCAGTCAAGGTGAATGAATGAGGAGCCTAAAGAAAGGTTTCACTACTGTCCTTACGCTAGTCCGTCACAGGATGTTGGCTGGCAGAGTCATCACAGGACTTTGAATTCACCTACAACACTTCAATTATTTCTGCTGAGAGAGATGTCCTTTAAAATGCATTGCATGGAAGGCCAGCTGAGTCTGCAAGTTCAGCCATGTCCCAGAGTGGTGGGTACAACATTGGGCAGTAATATGAACATTCAAAGAGTGAACATACAAACACTTCATTGTTTCTTCCACAATAAAGAAGTGTCCGTAACTCCCTTGTAATCTTCAATGTGGGCCAACCATGAGGCAGCCAATTAGCCTCTGAATAAGCTAGTCTCAACAAATAATAGTGCTGAAGAAATGAACAAAGTGAAACTAATGTAGTGTGAACTAATTATAAGGTTTAAAACACCAGTGCCACTTTTGTACTCTCATTATATGATTGGCAAAGTAGGTAGACAGGAAAGTTGGGGCCATGATCCAAAGTCTCCCCATTTGACCAGGAGATTCTGCCTATTCTTGCTCCATTGCAAATGAAAAGATTTCTCCACCATGTGATCCCACTCACATGCCATAATGTCACTGGCAATTTAAGTTTTAATTGTAATTGTGTGGGATCAGCAAAACAGAGCAAAAGTGGCGAACACTTTGTATTCTGCTGTCGGGAACAGTGCACCACTGATAAAATTCCCTGAGTAGAAAGAAAGATAAATTGTAATTTACCAAATCGTTCTGATGGACATAAATAAAAGGATGTTTGTTTGGCATCCATCAACATGAAATAATCTGACAGAACAGTTTATTGAAAATTTTTATTTTGCAGCAGACTTGGCAAAGATCTTGAAACTGTGATTCGCAAAGAATCTCGAAGTCCAGCGACACAAGCTTCCTCTGCACAGATCCACTCAGGTCAGGGACAGTAATGGCTGAGCATGTGACTTAGCACTTTTTGCTTAACTGCTAAAGTACCTTTAGTATTTGGAAGAAATATGAATCCTCCCATTGTGGAAAGTAAAAGCATTTTTATTTTCTCAGCGGAGCTTCCTGTTGATGGTTTTAGTGTTTTACAGAGAACAAAAAAATCATTATTTAACTTGCTTGGAATCTAGCCACAAGTTAAGGTGAAACATAAACCATTCTAGCAGTACTCCAGCTAATTGATTCTTTAAAGCATAGTACATCCTCTGGGATATTGTCTCTGTGTAAGCAGTCCCTCAACAAGACTGGCAGCACAAGTGGCTAGTAATTAATATCCAGCAAATGTTTTATTTACGGTTTGTAAATCTGCTCTTGCTCTATCAGAAGCATCACCTTTGGTAAATTCTGTAAGTTCGACACAGAGGAAAAGCCCTGTGGGAAGCATAGGCGGAATGCAAACACCAGCCCAAGGATTGGGGTACAATTTAAAGAATTGAAATATTTGGTTACACAAGAGGAACTTTGTATAAAGAGAAGGTCAGTAGTTAATTGGTGAAGCAAATCAAATTGGGCTGGATCCTTGTCCAAATTTGCTTTTAGAAGCATGAAACTTAATGAAATTAAGAAAGAGCAAGAAACTTTATCCACTAAAAGAATTAAACTGAGGTGAATAGGTTTGAGCTAAGTAGCTTAAGGAATTGTAATTGCAAGTTTTCAGTGTAATGCATGATAAAACTAGTCAAGGTAAAACAAGGGGCTAACTGTGCAAAATAACTTGAGGTCCCTTAAGGTACAAGGATAGGTGGATAACTTGGTTAAGAAGGTATATGAGATACTTGACTTTATTTGTCGAGGCGTAGAGTTTAAGAGCAGGGAAATAATGCTGAAACAATATAAAATGTTGGTTAGACCACAGCTAGAGTATTGTGAGCAGTTCTAGAATCCATATTATAGGAGGGCCGCGATAAACCTGGACGGGTACAGAGCGGATTTAACAGGATTTTGCCTAGGCTAGAGAGTTTCAGTTATTAAGAGAGATTGGACAGACTGGGGTTGTTTTCCTGAGAGGTGACATAATTGAGATGTATAAAATTATGAGAAGCATAGTAGATAGGATAGATGGGAAGAAAATCTTTCGCTTGGTGGGCAAAGATTTAAGAAATGGGGCAGAAGGTTTAGAGGAGATGTGAGGAAATATATTTTCACTCATAGGGAGACGGGAGTGTGGAACTCACTGCCTTTAAGGGTGGTAGAGGCAGAAACCCCCATGCTTTGCAATGCTAAAACATACAAAGCTATCGGCAAAGTGTTGGAAAATGGGACTAGAACAGTTAGGTGGTTGTTTTTGATCAGCATGGATGTGATGGGCCAAAAGGCCGTTTTCTGGCTGTAGACATCAATGACACTATAACTGAATGCATCCTTGTCTGAAATAAGGAGAGACTAGAATTCAAGCTGCAATTATTCCACAGACTATCATAAGAGGCTTGGTGAGACATATTTTCCCTTCTATTCTATAGCTAATACATATCCTTTTATTACTGCAGGTGAATTTGGACTATAACAGGCTAGACAGCATGCAAACAAGAAGTGCTCATAATAAGAGAAGGAAAAAAGATGTGAGATGCTGGGTTCTTCTAAGCCATCTCATGGTGACATATTCCACAATTAGTCAATCTTCAGTCGTCTGATGTATAAAACTAGTAACAGAAGCCTAGACTGCCAATGAAAATAAATTCATCAGTTTCCCTAGTTACAATCACACGACAGTATGCTTTGCACAAGTAACTGGGAGAGAACACGTCCTGAGTGAGACACAGCCTGAGCGAGTGCATGGTTTTGGGGATTTGGTGCACTGTGGAAATTCAGTGCAGAGGAACAGAGGCTTTTTTTTTGCTTTTTGGTTTGTTCATTGTTTATAAGATGTCTTTTTTTTGTGGTTTATCATTGGTAAGGCTGTTTTCTTCAGCTTCAACTGAGCAGAGGGAGGGGAGTCCGAATTTAACAGCAGCATCTTAAAGGGTCTGCTTATTGGGAACACAAATAAAACAATGACATTGCAAGAAAGTGGTGTGCTGAACGGTTCAAATTTTTAAAAAAACATATTTGAGGATGGCACGGTGGCTCAGTGGTTAGCACTGCTGCCTCACAGTGCCAGGAACTTGGGTTCGATTCTACCCTCAGGCAACTGTCTGTGTGGAGTTTGCACATTCTCCCCATGTCTGTATGGGTTTTCTCCAGGTGCTCCGGTTTCCTCCCACAGTCCAAAGATGTTAAAGTTAGT